GAAAAACAGTAAAAAACAGTGAAAAACCGAGCCAATTGGTTTAATTACTCAATTTAGAAACTAAGAAAGCGCTATAATGTATAAAGTTAGGTATAAAGTTAGGTATAAAGTAACTTAGGTATAAAGTTACCACAAAGAAAACCTTTTGTACAAACTTTTAACCCTTTTAACCCTTTTAACCCTTCTCAATTCTAAAAGAAAACTTTTTTTAAGAGAAAACTTATTCCCCAATCGATTCTGACATCAAAGCGTTCAAACTTGTGTGTTTTTGAGAGCAATCATTGGCCTCTAAAATACTCCAAATAAAAAAAATTCCATTACGTTTAGATCGGGTGAATTCGGGCGCCACTCATTGACGGTGATCACGTTGGGGAAATTGGGGAAAAAAAAAGGCATACTTGTCTAGAATACAAATCAATCATATCTTTCAATATTCAAAAACAAACGAATAACTGTAAAAACAAAAGAGAATCATAAAAACAAAATTGAATCATAAAAACAAAATTTTTCCTCAAATGGACGTGTGCTTTTATGTTTCGGAAACGATTTGAATTCGGAGAACGATAAAATGGGACAGGATTTCGGAATGGAAAAAGAAGAAATGGATAAAATCTTGAATAATACATTCGGAACAATAGCTTTGCAAGTGGAAAAAGAAATTATGGAGAAAAAAGAGAAATGGTCTTATCTCGGGGATTTCTTCTTTGAGGAAAGTGTAGAGATTGAGTGCTAAGAAGAAAAGAAAAGCCAGCAAATGGTTTCTGGAATAGTTATTTACATTTAAAGCTTTTATTAGCTCAAAGCTTTATTAGCTCAAATCCAATTCAAATCTAAGTCAAATTTGCATCAAATCAGAATTCAGACTTTTCTAAAAAATACCAAATTTCCTCTAACAAGTGCTCCCAACTTTAGACGCTTCGTTCTTTAGCCCCCATTTTGAGATATTCTTTTGTTTTATATACTAAAAGATAGCCCTTAATGTCTTCTATCTTTTGGTATATTAAACATAAAAATATCTCAAAATGGAGCTGAGAACGAGGCGTCTAAAGTTGGGGAGGGGGCGCCTACCAGAGGAAATACGACCCACTTTGGACCCTTCGTTCTTTACCCCATTTTGATATATTTCTTTTGTTTTATATACTAAAAGATAGCCCTTAATATCCTCTATCTTTTGGTATATTAAACATAAAAATATCTTAAAATGGAGCTGAGAACGAGGCGTCTAAAGTTGGGGAGGGGGCGCCTACAGAGGAAATACGACCCACTTTGGACCCTTCGTCCTGAGCCCAATTTTGATAGATTTCTTTTGTTTTATATACCAAAAGATAGCCCTTAATATCTTCTATCTTTTGGTATATTAAACATAAAAATTTCTTAAAATGGAGCTGAGAACGAGGCGTCTAAAGTTGATCGAGAGGGGGCGCTTATTAGGAAATACGATATCAAAGTTCAATCTCATTATATTCATCTAAATTAGAAAAGCCAGCTTTATCGAATAATAAAACAAAATTTGGTCAGTATTTCAGATCTAGAAAGAGGCTGTGACTGGATGGCTTATCTAGAGTTTGAAGGGAAAGGGAAATGGTGGAAAGGGTATGATTGGAAGGGAAAAGATTGAAGAGAAATGTATGAAGGGCCGATAATCAAAGAGAAAACAGCCATCCCTTTCTTTCTTTCACTCCATCTCTCGAGAGACACCATTTCGATAAACGACAAACATTTCAGAACATTTCAAACACTCAGATTTTGCGAGATTTACGATCTTTGAACAGTGAGCATTGGCTAAAGTTTGCTCAAGCTAGTGTATCCCTGATGATGTAACTTGAAAAGATTAAGCAGATCTGCTAGATCTGGTAGAGCTGCTAGAGCTGCTAGATTTGCTAGATCTGCTAGATCTGTTAGATCTGCTAGATTTGCTAGATTTGCTAGATCTGCTAGATTTGCTAGATCTGCTAGATTTGCTAGACCTGCTAGATCTGCTAGATTTTCTAGATCTGCTAGAGCAGCTAGATTTGCTAGATCTGCTAGATTTGCTAGATTTGCTAGATCTCCTATATCTCCTATATCTCCTATATCTCCTATATCTCCTATATCTCCTAGATCTCCTATATCTCCTATATCTGCTAGATTTGCTTAATCTTGCAAACTTTGCTTGTCTTTATTATATCTATTATTTATCTAACTTATTTAACTCTATAAGAATCCCTTAGATAATCATCTAGACATTCCCCAGCCGCAGATAATGAGATTACCACCAAGCAAATGCGCCTAAAAATATCCAAGACAAAGAAAAGCTACAACCCTTCTATAGAAAAGCTACAATCGTTCTATAAAGTACTTTAAGAATTCGAGTTTTAAGAGTTAGGAATTGGTCGAAATCTAAAAAGATTGTTTCTAGAATAGTCAATAGTTCCTAGAATAGTCAATAGTTTCTATTTTGCGTTAGAAACCGCAAGAAAGTCTAAAAGAGATCACAAATAAAAACATTGGCCATCAACGGTAGTGAAAAAAAGGTGTGAAAGGACACACTTTTCAGTCACCAAACGATTGACTGACTGGAAAGAGAAGCTTTCAAGGGAGAGAGTGACAGGAAAGAAGGACAGAAGCCTTTTCACTCTCTTTCCCGAGAACACAGTCGGTCACCCCCTCCACCCCATGAATGGGAGTCGAATAGCATCGCCTCCGGAAGTGAACGAGGAAAAGAGGGGATTGTTGCTGTTCTGCTCTCTTGTCACATTTAGCTCTGGAGTTTCGACCATGGAAACTGGTTTTTTCTACTTATTATAAGCGAGAGAGTCTGTGTGTCTGTCTGTCTGTCTGTGTCTGTCTGTCTGTGTCTTTCTGTCTGTCTGTGTGCGTCTGTCTGTTCTTGTTTCTTGGTTCGACCCTTCTGCAATGCTGGAGTCTTTTTTGAACGTTTCAGGATTCAAATTATGAGTAGAAATTGAAATTATACTTGCTAGCTTGCAAAAAAACATAGGCCATTACAAAAAAAAACAAAAATCGTCAAAGTGTAGGTTGAAGGATTCAAATACGGACGTCCGATTCAGAACCGGACGTCCATTATTGAATAGATTGATCTAATACGGTTCCAATACGGTCTTTTTTTGATCTAATACGGTTCCAATACGGTTCTTTTTTTTGATCTAATACGGTTCCAATACGGTTCTTTTTTTTGATCTAATACGGTTCCAATACGGTTCTCGATTCAAAACCGAACGTCCATTATTGAATAGATTGATCTAATACGGTTCCAATACGGTTCCTTTTTTGATCCAATACGGTTCCAATACGGTTCTTTTTTTTGATCTAATACGGTTCTAATACGGTTCCAATACGGTTCTCGATTCAAAACCGAACGTCCATTATTCAATAAATTCAATAACGGACGTCCAGTTCTAAATCGGAAATCCAATAACGGACGTAACATATATCACCTTGCTAAACTATATCAGAAATTAGACGTGGGCACTACAAACGCTAACTTGCTTCAAATCTGATGGATTGACATGATCTATAGCTCAAAAAAAAATAGAGAATCTCAAGAGCTTTCGAATGAACTAAAGCACAATCAAAAATATTAATTCTAAAGAAAGTTACAGTGGTTTGTAGCATGACTCGATAGCTTCGACTACGCGCGTGTACGGTCCGTTTCCCTACAAACCACTGTAACTTTCTTTAGGATTGATATTTTCATGTCCGTTCGAAAGCTCTTGAGATTCTCTATTTTTTGAGCTATAGATCATGTCAATCCGACAGATTTGAAGCAAGTTAGAAGCGTTTGTAGTGTGACAGTTTGTCATTTTTGTATTTTATGTTATGTTAAGATCTTCTGATTCTATTTTGAACTATCAATAAGCAAAGTATCGACGGAAATAAAATTTGATAACTCATTCGTTTCGAGAGTATTCTTTTCTTCGTCTTACTTTTGTAAACCACATACGTTTTAACCATAATCACATAGGCCAGGAGTGGTTCTAGATTACTTTGGCCTACATTGAAAAACAAATCTTTTACTGTTGAATTGCTACAGGCTCAAATATTGCAGCTGAATGCTGAATTGCAGCGACTACGCCGTCGAACAAATCCCGTTCCTAAACGGTGTTCCGTCTGCGCAAATCGACGTGCGCTCTCTCCTTGGGTTGAGCCCCCCCTCACACGCCCCATCCACCCGCATCCAGGCCACGGGGACATGAGGAAGAGCCACACCCAATGCAACTTAATTAAAATCGGCGCTCTGTCTCTCTTTTTGCTCAGCGTGATGGCGATTAGCTCATTGAAAAACTCGCCGATTTCTATCGTCTCCGATATTTTATCAACCGAAATCTTGTAAAGAAACCATTCCGCTTCTCACCTATTTCTTTGAACTTTAACCTTACTGAATTTACAAAAGGTTAAAGTTGAATTTTACTTACTTTTACACGTTTACAACTTACTGAATTTACAAATTCTAAAACTTTTTTTTTAAATTCGAAAGCTGTTTTTTAAATTCTAAAACTGTTTTTTAAAATTCTAAAACTCTTTTTTAAAATTCTAGAACTGTTTTTTTAAATCATTGCAAATTCTCTTTGTTAAAAAGTAAAAACGATATTAAAGGCAAATTAAGCGTCCGCGAATTAAAGCAAATTAAGCTTCCGCTTCCGCAAGTTTGAAAGGTTTGGTGAAAAAATTTTTGCATTTTTCAAACAATTCAACGAATTTGTTGACCAATCTCTGCATTTTCTTCAAAAACGGCTCTTGTTTTTATAAAAACCTTGAAAACTGTATGTTTTGCTTGCTCTGATGAGTCAATGACAATGACAAAATCAGGACTGTGACTAACTTTGATTTCTTCATCGTTTCTTTGTTTTGGAATCTTTAAAGTTCTTTTAAAATTTAAAATTAACGTTTAAACCTTCAAGTTTAAAGTTTAAATCTTTGCATTTTTTTTATGTTGCTTCTTGTTGTTGTTGTTTTTTATACAGTTGCTTCTTCCAAATAATTACTCAGTTTTCAGGTCGATGAACGCTCGCAATCAGTTCAACTTCCCGGATGAAGAGGACCAGTATTGGAATGAGAACGGATCGACGAACTCTTCGTTTTTCGATGATCGACGACCGAACGAGCTGCTCGCGAAGCATGAGTTGACGAGAATGGCCATGGATAATCTATTCGAAGATGTGAGGACACCATGTGAGCCGTCGACCAGCAAACAGCCACCACCACCGCTTCAATCAATGCAAACAACTCCCACTTGGAAAAACAATGTTGTTTTTACTGCTGGAGCGACCAAATCAGCTACCACGACACCATTGAAAATGGAGGCGCCAAGACTTCCGCCGAAAGCTCCATTTCCTGATATTGGATTGAAACCAGCGGCTTCGGTTGTATCAATTGCTCCATCGGAATGCAGCGTTTCGTCGTTTCCTTCTGACGCACAGCAACAGGAAATCGACTACAATAGGTTGAAAAACGAACACCGAAAATTGCAGCGACACTTTGAGATGATACGCGCTGAGCGATATAAAGCGCCCGATGTGCGTGAGACGACGCGGAGATTGTTCATGAATGAGCCGGTGGCTTTGGATTTGTACAAGTCGAAGGCAGAGAAACTTGCTCTACTCGACGCGGCTATTGAAATGATTGATGGGAATGTGATCCTAGCTGTTGTGTTTTTTATTCAACGAACTGTTTCCGAGTCAATCTTTCGAGAGATTTTACTGCAAAAACCGAAAGCCGCTGAGCAGTACATTCAGTATTTGAAAGATGCGAAGAATGTGGACGAGTTGATGACAACGATGTGTGCATTGGGAAGGACCACTGAAGCGGCAATGGTTGAGTTCAATGTTGCTATGGAGGCAAAAACAGTCACTCAGAAAGTGATCCTCCTGAAGAAAGCCTTGGGGTCAACGTTCTTGGATCCAAATCTTCAAATGGAAAGAGAACAAGTGAGGAGGTATTTGGATTTAGTCGAAAGACAAACACAAATCGAGGTCACTGACTCTCAGGACAAGTCGAAGTTGTTCACCGATTACCCGAAAAACGCGTCTCTGATTGGACAACCGGCGATCCATACTTTGTACTACTCTTGTCTGTACCATCACGATGATCCAACCACTGCACAGGCATCACCACAAGCAATCAAAGATCTTTGCCATTTGAATGATAAACAATTGACATGGATGTCGATTCAAACACTTGTGAAACAAAATCGATGGCTTGACATTGAAAAGGCGCTGTGCCCGCGCAGTTTGATTCCAAATCTCGGCAAAACGGGCGGGTATTTGAAGGCGAACGTTGTGCCGATGGTTCATCTCTTGAGGCTTCTACATCTTGACAAGGCTCAACCGCCAAAAGATCTCGTTTGTCGTTTGTTGCGAACTCTTCCCAATATGAATGACAAGTTACGATTCGCGGAAAAGTATATGGCCACAGAGGTCGTCATTGAGTGCACACAGCAGCAAAAGGATCGCACACGTTTAGAGGCGTATCTGAAGAAGTTGACGCCGCATTCTTCGGATCATTATAAAACCCTGGCTGCTCTTAATAATTCCAATGCTAAATGGAAATAGTTTTTTTGTTGTGCTATCTACTCTACGGTTTCTTTTCAGCATAATTCGGGTTTAGTTTATTCTCTTTTTCTTTGCTTGTCAAGTCTTTCTTTTAATAAGTGAACTGTGATACATTTTTTCTGCTCATTCACTTCAGTTTCCTGTGCTTTTCACTTTCGAGCTGTATCTCTATTGTTTGGATGAAAAAATCTCGATCTTTAGGATGTCGTCGGGTCAATCGACATCAGAAACCTCGACGGCGATTGGTGGGCCGCCACCACCGGCTCCTGGACGGGTAAAAACTTTATTTATTTAGCTTTTTTGGTAAATTTGATAAAAATTAAGATCTTAAGAAATCTTACCAAAGAAATCTCAAGATTTCAATAGACAAGATTCAAGCTCAACGTTCGGGTGATTCTCTAGATTTAGATACTAGCTAAATGCTTGTGCTAAACTAGCTAAACCTAAAACTCGGCAAGACCTAATTTTCTGATTAAATTTTTAAGAGCCAATTCAATTCCAATTTTTAGGTATCATTTCGTGATCTGTGTTGCCTCTTTTGTTGCCCACCTCTTCCATCGAGTATCGTCAGCAAACTAGCTTTTATGCCGCCCGAGCCGTGCTATTCGATTACCGATGATTCAAGGTTGGGCAAATGTTTTCTTTTAACAATAAAAATTTTGTTTAGGTTAAATTTGATCGATGGACGAGCCGAGTGGCCACATGAGATTGAAGAGCTTCGTTTGATTGAGGTACTTGTTGTTTTGTTGATTGTTGATTGTTGATTCGGTTGTATTGTTATGTTGTATTGTTGATTTTTAATTAAATTTTAGATGTTTACGACCCGGACAAGACGGAGAAACAAAATCGCTTGCCTCTACGTGCGGCCATGCGGTGATGCAGCACGGTACACGCTCCTCTTCTCGCACGGAAATGCTGTCGATCTCGGACAAATGAGTAGCTTCTACTATGGACTTGGATACCGCTTGGGGTGCAATGTGTTTAGCTACGATTATTCAGGTTCAGTTTTATCATAAATTTACTGATAGATAGAACTGATAGATAGATAGAAATTTAAAGATTATAACAAGTTTTTGGATAATAAACAAGAAAGTCTTTATGATTTAGTTAATGGACTTTTTAAATTTCCAGGTTATGGTTGCTCGACTGGTAAAGCTAGCGAGAAGAACCTCTACGCCGATATTCAAGCAGCTTTTGAGGCTCTTCAAACAAGGTGATTACTTTGCTTACTTTACTTTGCAAAATCTTTTGAACAAAACAATAATTTTATGTTGAGATTTGGCTTATTTTGAAGTTTAGATATGACATTCCTGCTGAGCGGGTGATTCTCTACGGGCAAAGCATCGGAACGGTGCCTTCAGTGGATTTGGCTTCAAAACATCCCGATGTGGCTGCTTTGGTGATTTGTTTTGCACGTTTCTTCATTTATAAGCTTTCAGATATTACATTCTCCTTTGATGTCCGGAATGCGAGTTGCCTTTCCGGGAACACAGCGAACTTGGTGCTGCGATGCTTTTCCTTCAATAGGTTTGGCTTCATTTTTAGAAAGTCTACTTTGTATTTTAGAAAAAGTACCCCGGGTCACTTGTCCTACTCTTGTTATACATGGAACTGATGACGAGGTAAACTGAGTTTAAAGCTTTAATGTTAAACTTTCAATTAGGTTATCGACTTTTCACATGGAGTCTCGATTTATGAGCGATGTCCGGCTTCAGTGGAGCCATTATGGGTTCGTTTTCTGGAAATACTTGATCAGTTTTGACGAAGAGAATATCTATTGTTTTAAGTTGTTCAATTCTTTATCCAAAGCTTGTTTTAAGGTTGCCGGCGCTGGGCACAACGATGTGGAGCTGCACGCGGCTTACTTGGAACGACTACGACTCTTCATCGAAAGTGAGGCCGGCAAGAAACCAGCCACCACTCAAGCTTATCAACCAAATGGGTTTGTTTTTGTTTGAATCAAATGAAAATAATCAGAATACACCTCAAAACTTCATTTTCTCAAAATATTGCTGATTTAGAGCCATCAAAAGTACGCGTAACAACGACTCGGCTCGAACTGCGTAAATGCAAATCTAATTTTTCTTATAATCCTTCCTCGCTTAATACATGTACGAGCTTTGTTGGCAATATCTAAATAACTATTCTTTTTTGTTTGTTATAACCAAATATATTTGCGTGCAATTCGAATGCATTTTCTTATTTTCCCCCGTTGACTCATTCCATTGTTGCATAAGATTTTTTCGGAGATTTCCATCGAGTTTTTCATATTGTTGTATCTTTTCACCACATTGATTAGTGCTAGATCTCTTTACCGAACTCTTTCTTTAGGCATAATCGTCCATAGGTTCTAATGAATTTAAGCTGGAGAGTACACCGTCTATATTTGTTCCCTTTTTTTTATTCGAAAACCGATCTGCCTTCTCTCGTGCAATCTTATCATTTACATTCATTTGAGTTTCCCATTTTCTTCTTGAACATCTTTGTATTCTTTCTTTTCCGTCGTTGAAATTTGCATATTCACATCATTATTTCGTCATTTGCTCCAATATTTTCGATTTTTGCCCAAGTGATAGGGCTTTATGTAAATAAAAATAAACGCGAAATGGTTTTAGGCAAAGGAAACCCGACAACGATGGCTTGGATTTTGATGCTAATCTTTAGAATATTTCGGACGTTTTAGAAAACGCTTGACATCAAAAAAAACGACTGTGAAAGCCAATCGCGTTCTCAACTTCCAGAATTCGGTTTCTCAACTGCTTGAGAAACCGAATTCTGGAAGAGAATTTTCTTATCGAAAATTCCGAAAAACGGCAGTGGAAAAAGTGGAAAAACGGCCTAGAATTGAATGAATTCATTTAACGATCTCTCCTTTTCACGGTCTTATCAATTCCAAAATTCTCAGGCAAAGTGTCAAATTTGTGCCAAACCTTTGTGGGAAAAGATTTTCAAATAATTCAAAGGATTTTCACTCAATCTTTCTCGAATTACTATTTTCATTGCAAATCATGATCCCTGATCGAATCAAGCAATTGATGAACAAAGGCGACAAAGTGGCGCTGAAACCGATGCCTTTGCCGGATCACAGGAGTTTGACCGATTCGAGCAGTGTTTCTAGTGAAACGTCACAGGATGGAGGAAGTGGTGAGAAGGATTTTGAGAGTAAATATTGTAATTTATGACATGGAGTAACTTTAATAACTTTAAAAATACTTTTGTCCTTTTTTGCTGATCATTTTCATTGATGGATAATGCTGGGTAGACCTGGTATGACGACTTCTCCAAGCCTCGCCAGAACCCTGGCTTTCTCTGACGCTTTCTCTATAAGCCAGTCAGGCTAGAATCAGCAAATGGCAGTACTTCTTTGCCGTAATCGTTTCCGTAATCGTTTCGCCCGGATTCAGAAAGCTGTGATGGATGAGACCGGCTGCGGACCACCAAACAGTCACCATAACCTTCTTTTGGTGCAAATTTGGCTTTGGAAAGTATTGTGGAGCCAGGCTAGAATCAGCAATTGGACTCAAGTTCTGGGTTTGTTGGTTGACTGTTGGTTAGCTGTTGGTTGGCTCTGCCTTTAAAACCTAGACTCTGCCTGGCTTGAGCTAGGTCATGGCTAGAAGCTGAATCGAGTCTATCACTAATGCCTGGGCATTAGTGACCTGGGCCTGACCTGATCAGCCTAGGCTTGCTGATCAGCCTAGCCTTGGTGATCAGCCTAGCCTTGGTGATCAGCCTAGCCTTGGTGATCAGCCTAGCCTTGGTGATCAGCCTAGCCTTGGTGATCAGCCTTGGTGATCAGCCTAGCCTTGGTGATCAGCCTTGGTGATCAGCCTAGCCTTGGTGATCAGCCTAGCCTTGGTGATCAGCCTAGCCTTGGTGATCAGCCTAGCCTTGGTGATCAGCCTAGCCTTGCTGATCAGCCTAGCCTTGGTGATCAGCCTAGCCTTGGTGATCAGCCTAGCCTTGGTGATCAGCCTTGGTGATCAGCCTAGCCTTGGTGATCAGCCTAGCCTTGGTGATCAGCCTAGCCTTGGTGATCAGCCTAGCCTTGGTGATCAGCCTTGGTGATCAGCCTAGCCTTGGTGATCAGCCTAGCCTTGGTGATCAGCCTAGCCTTGGTGATCAGCCTAGCCTTGGTGATCAGCCTAGCCTTGGTGATCAGCCTAGCCTTGCTGATCAGCCTAGCCTTGGTGATCAGCCTTGGTGATCAGCCTAGCCTTGGTGATCAGCCTTGGTGATCAGCCTAGCCTTGGTGATCAGCCTAGCCTTGGTGATCAGCCTAGCCTTGGTGATCAGCCTTGGTGATCAGCCTAGCCTTGGTGATCAGCCTTGGTGATCAGCCTAGCCTTGGTGATCAGCCTAGCCTTGGTGATCAGCCTAGCCTTGGTGATCAGCCTTGGTGATCAGCCTAGCCTTGGTGATCAGCCTTGGTGATCAGCCTAGCCTTGGTGATCAGCCCTTGGTGATCAGCCTAGCCTTGGTGATCAGCCTAGCCTTGGTGATCAGCCTAGCCTTGGTGATCAGCCTTGGTGATCAGCCTAGCCTTGGTGATCAGCCTTGGTGATCAGCCTAGCCTTGGTGATCAGCCTAGCCTTGGTGATCAGCCTAGCCTTGGTGATCAGCCTAGCCTTGGTGATCAGCCAGCCTTGCTGATCAGCCTAGCCTTGGTGATCAGCCTAGCCTTGGTGATCAGCCTAGCCTTGGTGATCAGCCTAGCCTTGGTGATCAGCCTTGGTGATCAGCCTAGCCTTGGTGATCAGCCTAGCCTTGGTGATCAGCCTAGCCTTGGTGATCAGCCTAGCCTTGGTGATCAGCCTAGCCTTGGTGATCAGCCTTGGTGATCAGCCAGCCTTGGTGATCAGCCAGCCTTGGTGATCAGCCTAGCCTTGGTGATCAGCCTAGCCTTGGTGATCAGCCTAGCCTTGCTGATCAGCCTTGGTGATCAGCCTAGCCTTGGTGATCAGCCTAGCCTTGGTGATCAGCCTAGCCTTGGTGATCAGCCTAGCCTTGGTGATCAGCCTAGCCTTGGTGATCAGCCTAGCCTTGGTGATCAGCCTAGCCTTGGTGATCAGCCTAGCCTTGGTGATCAGCCTAGCCTTGGTGATCAGCCCAGCCTTGGTGATCAGCCTAGCCTTGGTGATCAGCCTAGCCTTGGTGATCAGCCTAGCCTTGGTGATCAGCCTTGGTGATCAGCCTAGCCTTGGTGATCAGCCTAGCCTTGGTGATCAGCCTAGCCTTGGTGATCAGCCTAGCCTTGGTGATCAGCCTAGCCTTGCTGATCAGCCTAGCCTTGGTGATCAGCCTAGCCTTGGTGATCAGCCTTGGTGATCAGCCTAGCCTTGGTGATCAGCCTAGCCTTGGTGATCAGCCTAGCCTTGGTGATCAGCCTAGCCTTGGTGATCAGCCTAGCCTTGGTGATCAGGCCTTGGTGATCAGCCTAGCCTTGGTGATCAGCCTAGCCTTGGTGATCAGCCTTGGTGATCAGCCTAGCCTTGGTGATCAGCCTAGCCTTGGTGATCAGCCCTAGCCTTGCTGATCAGCCTAGCCTTGGTGATCAGCCTAGCCTTGGTGATCAGCCTTGGTGATCAGCCTAGCCTTGGTGATCAGCCTAGCCTTGGTGATCAGCCTAGCCTTGGTGATCAGCCTAGCCTTGGTGATCAGCCTAGCCTTGGTGATCAGCCTAGCCTTGGTGATCAGCCTTGGTGATCAGCCTAGCCTTGGTGATCAGCCTAGCCTTGGTGATCAGCCTAGCCTTGGTGATCAGCCTAGCCTTGGTGATCAGCCTAGCCTTGGTGATCAGCCTAGCCTTGCTGATCAGCCTAGCCTTGGTGATCAGCCTAGCCTTGGTGATCAGCCTAGCCTTGGTGATCAGCCTAGCCTTGGTGATCAGCCTAGCCTTGGTGATCAGCCTTGGTGATCAGCCTAGCCTTGGTGATCAGCCTAGCCTTGGTGATCAGCCTAGCCTTGGTGATCAGCCTAGCCTTGGTGATCAGCCTAGCCTTGCTGATCAGCCTAGCCTTGGTGATCAGCCTAGCCCTTGGTGATCAGCCTTGGTGATCAGCCCAGCCTTGGTGATCAGCCTAGCCTTGGTGATCAGCCTAGCCTTGGTGATCAGCCTAGCCTTGGTGATCAGCCTAGCCTTGGTGATCAGCCTTGGTGATCAGCCTAGCCTTGGTGATCAGCCTAGCCTTGGTGATCAGCCTAGCCTTGGTGATCAGCCTAGCCTTGGTGATCAGCCTAGCCTTGCTGATCAGGTCAGGCCCATATCTAGCCCGCCCTATGCAAAGATCTGGCTTTAAAATCCTTGCATATCCTTAACTTAAGACTTGAGCTTGATTAGTCTTGAACTATTAAGTCTTGAACTCTTGAAACTCTTGAACTTTTAAACATTCCTGAGAGAGAACAATTCTAGACTGGATATGTTATTTTTTGGATTTTTTGAATTTTCCATATTTCCTTTCCTATCTCTCAAGAAAACCTTCTTTTTACGACCCTTCAACTACAGCTTTTTGATTCTGCTAATTTCTCTTTTCAACAGAGCGAAGAGATAAACAAGAAGAACCAAAAGTCGAACACCTTTTATCAATTTCTTGGGAATTAGTTTTTTTTGAATCAAATCGATCAAATAGATCCAATAGATCAAATCGATCAAATCGATCAAATCGATCAAATAGATCAAATGGATCAATCCAAAATAAATGAAACTATTTAGAGGCACTCGCCATCTACAGCTCACCGGTCAACAATCCTAAATACACGTATTTGAACTTTCGAAAGGGTGATCGATTGAGGGTGATCGCTGAGACGTGAGTGACTACTAACTTGTGAGCTTACTAACTACCGTTTACTTACTGTGAGCTTACTAACTACCATAAATACTGTAATAGTACCCCACCGCCCTCGTACAGTCGCGTAGTCGCAAAAGTTTTTAAGCATTTTTTAGTTTTTAGTATTTTTCAAAGCGTCCGTACTTTCAAAAAATGCGTCTTTCGTATCAAAAAATAGCTGAAATTCAGGGCTATTTTTTGATACCAAAACGAACATTGTAGCATAAACCAGTGTCGAGAAAAACGCGTTCAAAACTAGACTACGCAATGCTCCGCACCTTTTTTCACTTTTTTCAAAGCACCCGTACTTTCAAAAAATGCGTCTTTGGTATCAAAAAATAGCTGAAATTCAGGGCTATTTTTTGATACCAAAACGAACATTGTAGCATAAACCAGTGTCGAGAAAAACTCGTTCAAAGCTAGACTACGCAACACTCCGCCACCATCATGATGGGAGCGGGGTACTATTACAGTATTTACGGTATGTTTAAATTATAGTTCTAAATTGAATTATAGTAGAGAAAGGTTAAGCTAAACTAAGAGAAGCATATCGTAATACCTTTAATAGTAGCCCCTCCCCCCGATAATGCCGGTCGGAGCATCGCGTAGTCTAACTTTAAATGCATTTTTCTCGCCACCCGTTTAAGCTACAGTGTTCATTTAAGTATTAAATGAAAGCTGAAATTCAGGGCTATTTTTTGATACCAAAACGAACATTGTAGCATAAACCAGTGTCGAGAAAAACATCTTTCAAAGCTAGACTACGCGATGCTTCGGCCGTCATTATGGGGGTGGGGTACTATTACAGTATTTACGGTAGCTGATGAGTTATCGCCAAAAATATCAGCGTACTGGAGAGCGATCAACTAGTACTCATTCAAGGGCTTGTAAAACGAGTTATGTATCTCCAATCGGGAAACTTTTAATAGATAAATGTTGCCAAGATTAAGGACTTCAATATTTTATAAAACACTTAACAAAATAGAGTTGAAGTTGGTGCTTGGGAGCTAATCTATCAAAAAATCTAGGCCTGAGCTGAGTCTAGCTCTTCACAGTTCTCAGTTCTCAGCTCTCAGCTCTCAGCTCTCATTGCTTCATCAATTCTTGACCTTTCAGAAATGACAACTGGTGGCACGTCTACAACATTCGATCAAAAGAGATTGGCTTTGTACCGACTTCATACGTTTCCAAACTATGTGCAATCAAAAACGAGCCGTCAGTTTTTACAAAGAAACAATTGAAAATCGTTTTCTAGATGGTTTCACAATCATCTTCAACGTGAGAGCTCGGTCAGCACATTGGTAAGAAAAGTTTAGCAAAACAAGTGAGAAGATGAACAGTAGTGACATCAGCTTACGGTAGACAGATGGACAGTGATGGTGCAGATAAAAAGTGGTGCAGATAAAAAGCAGATGCAGATGCCCCAAAAGTTCTCTATTGAATTTAAGTCCGATGAGCAGACAGGCCATTCGAGAAAATCGATGTTGTGACGTTCCAAGAAAGGTGGATTGGCTGACATGAATTGAAGCATTATTCTGTTGAAAAATGTCACTTTTGTGCTGGAAGAGGAAGCAGTTGATCTGCAGTTGATCTGTTGATCTGCAGTTGATCTGTTGATCTGCAGTTGATCTGTTGATCTGCAGTTGATCTGTTGATCTGCAGTTGATCCACAAGAACGTCCTGAGCCCGTATGCTATGCTCCAGGAAAAGTTCCTGATCTCTGATCTCTGAAAAGGTCTCTGATCTTTACGGCGGCACCTTTGATCTTTCATCACGTAAAATATCCATAGTTTTCCCATGGAACGTAATTTCCTTCCAGAAAGTTTCCGGTAAAACTTTCGAAGAATCTAGATTTTCGGGGAAAAGTCGCTGAAGATGACCTACAAAGAAAATGAAACGCAAGTTGTCGCAAATTTCTTGAAGGATCCTTTCAAGAAGTCTTCGGGATTTCCTCAAAAGCTCACCGTCCAAAGCAGATCCGCAAGGACGTTCTAGTAATCGTTCGAGTTCATGCGACAAGTCACAAATTCTAAATCAAGAGCGTCATCCACATTGAAGGCCATAGCATCAATGATCCTTTTTCCTTCGAAATTTCGTCCACAAAGCATTGAATCCCAGGCATTCAGAAGGCACTTTTCTTCAAAATTTCAATAGTTTATGTGGTGAGCAAGCGGAGCAAGCTTTTGCCTCAAGAATGAACCAGACAGAGTAATCCATTGGATTTAGATCCAGGATGGCCATTCAGATTCAGAGCTGGATGGCCATTCAGATTCAGAGCTGGATGGCCATTCAGATGAGCTGGATGGCCATTCAGATTCAGAGCTGGATGGCCATTCAGATTCAGGGCTGGATGACCATTCAGATTCAGAGCTGGATGGCCATTCAGATTCAGAGCTGGATGGCCATTCAGATTCAGAAAAAGATTCAGAAATGAAATCGGAAAACTTCACTTTGTTTTCTTTGACGCTCTTCTAATATTTCGGAGCCGTCGTTAAGAAAGAAAGAAAGAGAAGATCAGAAGAAAGCCGAAGCAAAGCGTCGAGCGAGTCTGTGATTTTCTAGCCGTCGATGAGGAGTATTGTTCCTCAAATTCAAGAAGATTCAAGAAGCCTTCAAGAATTCAAGAAGCCTTCAAGAAGAACAAGTGCCAAGGCTTAACAAAAGCAGCAAAAAACAAAAGGCTTAACAAAAACGAATGGCTTGATGTCAAGATCTTCTTCAACAGGCGAGCAACATCGTTCCATCGTATTGTAGAGTTTGTAGAGTTCCGTTACACAGAGACGACAGTAATTAATAATAACCATTGCCCCTATAATTATAGCCAATTCTGTAGTTGATCTTGCCGTAACCAAGAACGATTTCAGCGACGCGACAACAAACTCTCGAAGGGCGCGTTTTTGGTGAGACCGTCGGCGCTTGAAGGTTTTGCCCTGGATGTGAAGTGAGCTAGGTTTTGCAGCAACAATGGCTGGGTTACTGTAGCTTTAGAAGCTTTAGAAGTAGCTCCGGATTAAGCCAGGCTAGATCAGAGAGATCTGTAAGCTAGATCAGAGAGATTTGTAAGCTAGATGAGACAAAAGCCTGCACTACTGTGAGTCAGACTAGCCAGAAGTGAAGTCAAGTAAAGCTAGACCCCAGAAGCCCGGTCTGGGGCCTAGCTGGACCCCAGAAGCCCGGTCTGGGGCCTCTGGATCCTGGATTCTGGCTATGATACTCTTTAGAAGTCAGGTTAGTCCAGAAGTTAAGCCTGGATTCTTTAAAGAATAGTTGACTCCTGCAGGAACAGTTGACTCCTGCAGGAACAGTTGACTCCTGCAGGAACAGTTGACTCCTGCAGGAACAGTTGACTCCTGCAGGAACAGTTGACTCCTGCAGGAACAGTTGACTCCTGCAGGAACAGTTGACCCTGCAGGAACAGTTGACCCTGCAGGACAGTTGACTCCTGCAGGAACAGTGACTCCGCAGGAACAGTTGACCCTGCAGGAACAGTGACCCTGCAGGAACAGTTGACTCCGCAGGAACAGTTGACTCCTGCAGGAACAGTTGACTCCTGCAGGAACAGTTGACTCCTGCAGGAACAGTTGACTCCTGCAGGAACAGTTGACTCCCTGCAGGAACAGTTGACTCCTGCAGGAACAGTTGACTCCTGAGGAACAGTTGACTCCTGCAGGAACAGTTGACTCCTGCAGGAACAGTTGACTCCTGCAGGAACAGTTGACTCCTGCAGGAACAGTTGACTCCTGCAGGAACAGTTGACTCCTGCAGGAACAGCTGACTCCTGCAGGAACAGCTGGCTCCTGAAACAAACCTGGAACCCAGGATCTATTATAGGAATCTAACCGAGGTCAGGCTTGACTTCTGGACTGGCCTGACCTATAAAAAGTATCATGTCAATGCCATGTACTTCTACAATTTTATTAGAACAGTATTTGCCTTGCATTCAACAATCTAACAGCATTTTGGAATTTTCCAGAATCAGCCCGATCGGCGTGCGCAACTTCAAAATCGACACCGATGGCCAGAATTTCTTCATCGAACCCGAGCTACATTTCCCTTCGGTGCAAGAGCTGATCAAGTACTATCAACAAAGTACAGTTTTTGATTAGCCAGCTGATGGGAATCGTTTTCTAGATAAGTCGCGAGTGATGAATACAAGGCTGACGAATTGGGTGGTGCGCAGGAATCCGCCCACGCATCAGCCACACAAGTGAGGATTGTTTTCAGACTTGTAAGAGCACTAAGCCTTGACTAGTTGTAGACTAGACTGCTGTTGTAGAAATCCATAAACACACCCTTTCTAGAGCACTTGATTCGTCGCTAAATCTTGATTTCTTTTTCCAATTCCAGATTCGATTTCTGGGAGATCGATCGTCAAGAGATCGCGATCCGAAAAGTCATTGGAAGGGGGAACTTTGGAACGGTTTGCTTTCCAAAGTTGCGAAAACGGGGTTCGTTTAGGTTTCGTTCGGAATGTACAGTAAATTGCCGGTGGCCATCAAAGAACTCACCGAGAAAAGCGGGCTCAGCGATGGAGCGTTGAAAGAAGAGTTTGACAAGTGAATAATTCAAAGCAATGCTTACCCTGAGTCCTACAGTATCCCAAGACTCCTACAGTATCCCAGAACTCCTACAGTATCCCAGAACTCCTACAGTATCCCAGACCTCAGTCTCACAGTATCCCAGGACTCCTACAGTATCCTAAATTTGTCAAGCCGCATTTTCAGAGAAGCCAAAATTCTCAAATCGGTCCATCACGAGAATATCGTTCAACTCTATGGGGTAATTTCTAAAGACTCGAAACTTTATCGATCCTTCTAGGTCTCCAGTCTCGAAGCTCCCTTCTATATTGTGACTGAGTACATGAGTGGAGGATCACTGCTTGAGTACATGAAAGGAAAGAAAAGCCCGGACGGTCTCCCACCCAGCATCTCGCCCAGACAATCGCTTGATATTTTGACTCAGGTACTTTCATGGGAAATCCAAAGCTATAGTACTATAGTACAAGGCAATCAAAAACTATATTACACTCTAGTTGCCGTACTTCACATTTAAAAGAATGTTTAGCATTTGTTCTTCTTGTAACTTGGCTTACAATTAGCTTGAAATTTAAGAAAACACAAAATTGTTTCTTTGATTCAAGCACCTAAAAATTGGATAAAACTACCGTATTCCTCAAAGTGTTATAGCACATATTGTAGAGCTAAATGAGAGCTTTCAGATGCTATATAGCACTTATAAATACGATGTCTACATCTAAAGTTACTACCCCTCAAAACAGCACCACTTTTTCGAGGAAGATATAATTTTACCGAACTGTACTGTACTGTACTGTACTGTACTACTTTTACTGTACTTCCAAAATCACTTTACTTGAAAGATCGACCTATTAGGCTTTAGAAAGAGCTAATTTAGAAAGCCTAATATACCTAATATAGCCTAAATTTTGATTTTAAAGTTGTCCTTTCTTTGGACACAAAATGAAAACTCTCAGGTAGCCTCCGGGATGAGTTATCTCGAATCGGAAACTATCATTCATCGGGATCTTGCCGCGAGAAACATCCTTGTTGAGATCGAAGCCTGCGGAAAGCTCATCGTGAAGGTACGGTTAAACTATTTTTTTGAAATCCTGATTCTTGGTCTTGCAGCTAAGCGACTTCGGACTGACTCGTCAGTTAGACGACGAGCTTTACTATATCAATCACAAGTTCCCAATTCGTTGGAGTCCACCGGAGGTGTTTTGTTTATAATGCTAACATTTTATAATTCTCAAAAATCTAGGTACTTGAGTCGGGAAAGTTCAATGATCGCTCGGATGTTTGGTCGTTCGGGGTGGTGATCTTCGAGCTTTACACGAGAGGAGAGACACCATATAAAGAATTGGGAAATGGTGAGCACTCATAATAATATGGATGGGATGGAATAAGATGGATATTTGCTTGTGAGGTCTACGTAAAGGCTGTATTAGTGTATGGACCTTCCACCTTTGTGTTTCGCTTCGAAAGTCTTATTTCATATCGTCTTTCTGCTCTTCATCCACAAAATAGGATTTTGTGCATAGTCTCGTAGGTAGGTATGGTTTATCGGTTAGCAGAAAAGGCTGTTCTTCATGCCGTCTCCTCAACGGTGAGAAGGCTAGAAGAAGCGTTTCAAGATTCGTGTCATCTTCGACCTGGGCCAATGGCTTCATTTTCTCGGTAGCTTTTGTGATGGCATCTTTGGGATTTGAATCGCTGGCAATAAGTAAAGCATTTCAGTCGGCAAGCAGCTCCTTGGCCCGGGTTCTTCCTTCCTCCTCCAATAGGTCGGGCACTTTTTGGTTGAGTTCAACTTAGATCGCGAAAGATCGTTTGGTAAGCGTTGGTGGTATCGGCTTGGATCGTGGCTTCAGCTTCGCCGTCAATTGCTCGAGTAGATCGGCTTCGAGAGTCTCCAATAATTTCGCATTCTCTCATTCATCAGCCCTTACCTAAATTAAGGAATACAGCAGAATATGAATGGAATAATAAAAAAAAACAATAGCAACTGTGCTAAATTAAGGAATATAGCAAAATATGGAGCGAAATAATAAAAGAAAACAATAGCAACTGTGCTAAATTAAGGAATACAGCAGAATATGAATGGAATAAAAAAAAAATACCGACTGGGGCTACCAGTGGTGAATTTATCGCATACACGAAATATATCAATCACAATACAACGACACACACAATACTAGGCTGTATCTTAACTTAACCCACGTCATGACAGACGGCTCCCTAACCCTAAGCTCAATGGGGAACTAAATAGCTTTTTTGGTGGTGAAGGGAAGATGACGATGAAGGAGTGGCTTGTCACTTTAAAGAACTGGGGCCACAACTACCAGACTGCCCTCCAGAAAACCTCTCAACCCGAAGGGAAAGGAAATCCGAAGGGGGTGACCATGTCGCATGTGGGGTTCGAACCCTCGACCTTCCGATTAAGATGAAAGACACTTAACCAGTCAGCCACACGTGCTCGTGCAAATATAGCAAAATATGGAGCGAAATAATAAAAGAAAACAATAACAACTTGCTAAATTAAGGAATACAGCAGAATATGAATGGAATAATAAAAGAAAACAATAACAACTTAAGGAATACAGCAGAATATGGACCAAAATAATAAAAGAAAACAATAAGCCCTTACTAGACAATTAGACCAAAAATGAAAATTTTTCTTCAAATTTTTCCTTTCACCCCGCGAAAAGGGCGCGTTTTAGAATGCGCCTTTACTCGCCTACGGTAGAATATACACAAAAATAACTTTTCAGCCCTCCAGCCCGCTCTTTTGTTCAACCATTTGAAAGCTGGGAATAAGCTCCGAAAACCGAGTCGATGTCCACAAATCATTCATGATAAGGTACTTGTTTTGTGGATAAGATTGAATTGGAATGGATTGGATTGGATTGGATTGGATTGGATTGGATTGGAAAGATTTGATCTAAACTCTTATGTTCTTAGATCTAATTGTAACCTTACTAGGCACTAGATTAAAGGGGGGGGGGGTATTAATCGCGGCCGGGTGACGATAAAAATTTTTTACGGCAACCACCTGTTTTTTTATTTTAATATCGCTGATTTTATTATAAAAAGAATAAAAATCACCCGGCTAGAGTGATTTGATGGGTTTACAAATTTTTGGAGATGCTGCAAGGCTTGGAGGAAAACAAGATCGTCACTCATCAGACACCTCAGCACAGTCTAGATCGATTGAGTTTTAGTTGCAGATAAATTTAAAAACAAAATAAAAAGCACAAAAAGTAATAAAAATAAATTGTTAATCTATAATTCTTCCTCTTGCTCACTTTCATCTTCGCTCAAGTACAGCAGTTCGGCTCAAGTACAGCAGTACAAATCGGCTTCCTATCTTATCAATTTCCAGCGCATCTTCACCAAAAGTGACTGGATCTCCTCCATCGTAGGACGTTGACGTTTGATTGACACAGTTCGATCTTTTTTCATTTGTGGTCGCTTATGGTTTTAGTTTTCTCAAATAGGTGCCTTTTAGCTGAGGTGTCCGATGAGTGACGATCTTGTTTTTCTCCAAGCCTTGCAGTGTCTCCAAAAATTTGTAAACCCATCAAATCACTCTAGCCGGGTGATTTTTATTCTTTTTATAATAAAATCAGCGATATTAAAACAAAAAAACAGGTGGTTGCCGTAAAAAAATTTTTATCGTCACCCGGCCGCGATTAATAACCCCCCCCCCTTTAAAGCTTTTAAAGGAAAAACTTTTTCAACTATCTCATTTTCTAGGTGACCAGTCCGTGTTTCCAATTCGCGCACCACGATCGTCCCGAGTTTCGCGTCTTGTTTAGAACGTTGAAGGTGAGCGCAACAAGCATCCAACAAATACATGCTATATTCCTATAGGAGCGTTGCGTGGTCTAAGTTTACACTCAAAGTACCGCTCATATCTCGACATCAGCACATTTTTTTTTTGCTCGTTTAAGTATCAAATTAAAGTAGAGAAAATGGGTGATCTTTTGAGATATAATACATATTTTTAGCATTAACCAGCCCTTAGAAAAAAATGATTGAAAAATGATGAAAAATCGGCTTTTTTTGCCATTCTTCAATCACTTGTTTCTAAGCTCTGGTTAATGCTAAAAATATGTGTTATATCTCAAAAGATCACCCATTTTCTCTACTTTAATTTGATATCTAAATGAGCAGAAACAAATGTACTGGTGTCGAGATATGAGCGTTTGTTTGAAGAGTAAACTTCGACTACACGACGCTCCGATAGAGGCTTTGATAGAGGCTTCTATTAGAGCGTTTACGGTATACATTTTTATATATTTTATTTATATGCAATATGTAAATGAAGGGGAATGTTTTAGGAGATTCCAATGGCTGAGATCGAGTCTTGTCGAGAGCAACAACCACCGCGGAAAAATAGATTCTAACAAAATAGCTTTTTGACTCGAATTCAAATCGTGAATTGTACATAGTATTGATAAATTTATTTTAAAATGCTCATGACAATGAATATTCTCCAAAATTCTTTTGTAATATTTCTTTTAAAATTATATAATCAATGAAAAACGTTCAAAAAAACAACCCGATATTTGCATTTCAACAAATGGCCAAAAATAATATTGGGTTGGGGACTATGACTCGGCGCCGAAAACCAAAAAAATGTCTAAAACTTCTATTCGACTTCGTCAAATAATATGCGTTTGATATCAGTAGAATGGTTAACTAATTCTCTACAAAACGACATATAAAAGAAAATTCAAACAGCGCCTCCGCTCAAGAAAAAGCCATTTTTTCACAAAAACTACAAACTGTCATCTAGAAAAAACAATTGGTGGGATCTTCCTGCAAATTTGGCAACTTAAGTAATTGAATGTGCTCTATCTTTTTTATATAAACACCAAAGAAGGTTTATGTGAAAGAAACTGTTCAAATGATGAGTCGGGCTCTTTGCCATTTTGACTAGCTGTGTTTGGGAGTCCATAAACTCGACGAAAGAAAAGCTTTGTGGAATCTCTCAAAAGTCATTTTGTAGAGAAATAGTGGATCCTTTTGATGAAACCAAACGTATATTTAAAGAAGGCTTTATGTGTGCAAAAAGTCCCTTTAAAGTTTGGCGCCGAGTCATAGTCCCCAACCCAATAGCTCATAAGTTAGCAAAATGCTGAAGATTTGCTTATTTTAGTCTTTGGATTCAACAATTGCACAGCTTAGAAAGAAGTCTTTGGCTTAGAATTCTTTGCTTTTTTTTTTTTTTTTTTTTTTTTTTTTTTTTTTTTTTTTTTTTTTTTTTTTTTTTTTTTTTTTTTTTTTTTTTTTTGTCTTTGCTTTGTCTTTGCTTTGTCTTTGCTTTGTCTTTGCTTTGTCTTTGGCTCAAAAATCAGATCGAAAACAATTCAGAAAAGACTAGGTGAAAAGGAAAAATAGAAATTCTAGTGAAAAAAATGAAACTGCTGCGCTAGAAAGGATGCGTTACCATACAAAGATACTTTGCGGATACAAAGTACACTTGTAGAACTTAGTTTTTAAACAAATTCCGGTTTTACTTGTTCCTGTCGAGTGGCCGCGTCGTTTAGATTCTGATAGCCGAACTGGAATGGTGGTGGCACGGGGATTCGATCACGGAAACGGCTGAAGATCATGGAAATTTTTGATTAGTGTCAACGAAATCTGATGCAATTCTATTATAAAAAGGCTCTAATGCAGCTAAAAAAGCTCTAATGCAGCTACAAAAGATCAACTCACCGATAAACAAAGAAAACCGCTCCAGCAATCACTAACAACAAGATGAAATGTGGGAGAAATGAGCGGCCCTCACAGAGATCTCCCTGGAAAAGTTGGCTTAATCAACTTTTATTAGGTTAACGATTGTTCCAAAGTCTAAGCCAGAGTTGGTAGGACTTGGTAGGACTTGGCTTCTGTTCTTGCCTGGTTTTAACGGCAGACTTGGGGCTATAAAATCCTGGACTTTGCCTGTGTTGGCTTGGAGCCTGACCTGACTTCTGATCTTGCATGGATTAACTATAGCCCTAGAAAATTCCCTGAAGCTGGCCTGGCTGGCTTATCCTGGCCTGGCTTGGCTTGGCCTGGCCTGGCTTGGCTTGGCCTGGCTGGCTTGGCTGACTTGGCTGGCCTAGCTGACTTGGCTGGCCTAGCTGACCTTGGCTGGCCTGACCTGCTTTAGTTTGGACCTGATCGAGCTTGATCTTAGCTTGACTCGACTGCAGACTTGGCTTCAGAAAATTTCCTGAACCTGGTTTCTGTTGTTTTACAAGATCTAGCTTCTGGTCGAACCTCTGCCCATGCCCTAGTTTAGATCTTGGACTAAAACAAACAAATATAGCACCACATCACCCCACCTTGAAGTCGAAAACGTGTTGATCGCGGTAATTCGATGGTGCCGCACATGTGGTTTCTCCCTGAAGAGTTTTTACATTTGTAAGTGAAAGATTTGTTGTTGAAAGATTGTTGTTGTTTGTTTTTAATTGTTGTTTTTAAATGACTAACTGGCTGACCTGGCTGGCCTAGCTGACCTGGCTGGCCTAGCTGACCTGGCTGGCCTTATTTGTGATCTAAAGTGAACTCTGCTTAAATTTGCAACAAACCGCATTCACGTAATCGGTCGGGTTATTCCTGGCCATTTCAACAAACGGCATCAGCTCGCAATCGCAAACGAGGGGATTCTAAAAGTGAATTGAATCAAAAAATTAACTAAACTTGATACTTTTGAGCTTTTTTATCGATAACTTTGCTAAAATTAGATTTTATTTTATAAAACTGACCTTCGATATGTCAAACGCGTTCACATTTGGCAACATGTCGAACATTGACTTGGGGACTGTGGTCTGAAATGTTTCTTGTTAATGAATGAACGCTAATGAAATTGAATTCAATGTAGATTTTAGGTTGAGGAAAAAAAAACACGCGTCTGTTGAGTGTAAAAACAATTCTACAAGTCTATTCTACAAGAAATAGCAACTATCAATCAGTAAGGTCAATCCATTTTTATCGATGATTTCTTCCCATCTTCGACACAAGTCTTTGATTTTATTTGTGGAAAATTGGAGTCAAAATAGTTTGTCGAGCACTTTTTTGACTCGAGCATGATCATCAAACTTTTCTCCTATGATAAACTGTTTCACCTTGGCTTCGGGCCAAAGCCAAGGCTTCGGACCAAAGCTAAAGTTTTGGGCCAAAGCAAAAGGTTTCCGCCAAAGCTAAGGTTTTGGGCCAAAGCCAAGATTTCCGCCAAAGCTAAGGTTTCCGCCAAAGCTAAGGTTTTGGACCAAAGCAAAGGTTTCCGCCAAAGCCAAGGCTCCGGACCGAAGCCAAGATTTCCGCCAAAGCTAAGGTTTTGGACCAAAGCAAAGGTTTCCGCCAAAGCCAAGGCTCCGGACCGAAGCCAAGGTTTCCGCCAAAGCCAAGGTTTCTGCCAAAGCTAAGGTTTTGGACCAAAGCAAAGGTTTCCGCCAAAGCCAAGGCTCCGGACCGAAGCCAAGATTTCCGCCAAAGCTAAGGTTTTGGACCAAAGCAAAGGTTTCCACCAAAACCAAGGCTCCGGACCGAAGCCAAGGTTTCCGCCAAAGCCAAGGTTTCCGCCAAAGCTAAGGTTTCCGTCAAAGCCAAGGTTTCCGTCAAAGCAAAGGTCTCGGACGAAAGCCAGCAGTAAACTTGAAATTTCAGATCAAGGCCAATTGAAAGACATTGGTTTTAGCTTGACTAGCATTGGCTTTTTGCTTTCTTTATCTTTGCTCAGACAAGCAAAGCCAGGTCTTTGGCAAGCTCAGCCAAATTTGACCAGTATTTTCTATTCAGTGCTAGACAAAACTTATTGAAGATTTATAAGCCTTTTTGCCCATAAAGCTATAGGCCTTTTTGTCTATAAAGCTATAAGCCTTTTTGTCTATAAAGCTACGGGCTACGGTGTAAAATTCCAACTCACAAAAGCGTTTCCAGAAAGCATGAGCTGTTTCAACTGTTGAAGACATTTCGGAGCCGCCGTGAAACTCGTCAACTTGTTCCCAGCTAGAATCAGCCTCGCCAAGCCGGCCACCTAAAGAATTTTAGATTTTAATTTGTTTAGGAATCAAATCTACCTTGCAAAATGTGTCCGGATGGATTTTTTCCAATCCGTTCTCACTCAAATCGATCTCCTAAAAGGTTTGATTGTAGAAAATCGTGAAGAATTGTAGCCAATTACCAATTGTCGTAATGAAATTTGAGTTAAATTTTGCTTTTTCAAGTTTCAAGTGCAGTTCACTTACTTGTAACTCATCAAAGCCCCGGGTTTTCGAGTCGAACAGCACTGAGAGAAGGTCAGCTTTAGCATTGCCGCTTCTATAAGTCTCATTTTGTTTGTTAAACTTCTTTTAAAAGAAAAGAACTCACTTATCGCCTAATGCTTTCTTCAAATGCAATCCTTTCAACTTTTCCAAAGCCTCGAAAGGTCGTGAGTTCACTGAGGAGATCTTGTTCCCGTCCAAGTACAAGTACTCGAGGTTTGGAGTTGCTAAAATGGGTAAACTTTGAACTAAAAGGGAAACTTGAACAAAAGGGAAACGAACAAAAGGGTAAACTGAACAAAATGGGTAAACTTTGAACTAAAATGGGTAAACTTTGAACTAAAATGGGTAAACTTTGAACTAAAACAAGTAAACTTCCGAAGTTTTGAAAGTAAAACCGAAATTCTCACCCTGAAACGTTTCCTTGCCGATCTTTGTCACTCCGCTTGATGTCAGATTCAATAAAGTGACCCCTTCGTGCATCTGAAAGGTGTAAACTTGAGATATTTTAGGTAGAGATAGCTAGAGCCAGAGATAGCTAGAGCCAGAGATAGTTAGAGCCTGAGATAGCTAGAGCCTGAGCCAGCTAGAGCCTGAGCTAGCTAGAGCCTGAGATAGCTAGAGCCTGAGATAGCTAGAGCCTGAGATAGCTAGATCCTGAGATAGCTAGATCCAGAGATAGCTAGAGCCAGAGATAGCTAGAGCCTGAGCGAGCTAGATCCAGAGATAGCCAGAGCCAGAGCTAGCTAGAGCCAGAGCTAGCTAGAGCCAGAGCTAGCTAGAGCCTGAGCTAGCTACAGCCTGAGCTAGCTACAGCCAGAGCTAGCTACAGCCTGAGCTAGCTAGAGCCTGAGCTAGCTAGAGCCTGAGCTAGCTAGAGCTAGTTTTTAGCATTCTCTCAATTCCCGGCACTCACCTCGCTGTCTCCGAAAATTGGGAAAGCGATATCGCCGAAACGATTCCCCGTCACAACAATCGTGTCCAAATGGGGGAAAGCGAGCGCGTGCAACTGAAAAAAGTGTACTTAGAAAATGATTTTGCAGTGATTTGTAGAAAAAGGAATCTATTTCAGAAAAAAGCAGCCAGTTTTTGCTATTATTCGATCCAGGAATCACAAATCTCAAAAGCAATACGAAAATTCGGCT